GGTGGGGGTGGGAGGAGGGGCCACGGGAACCTTTCGAGGGTGAAGGGTGTGTTCGCTATCGGGATTCCGGTGATGGTGTCACAGGTGGACGCTCGTCAGGGCGCAAATACGTGCAGTTTACTGTCTGTTATACACAGATACTAAAAATAAACTCCCTCTCCACTTCCCCCCTTATCTTGCATCTCTCTGCCCCCCGAATGAGTATCGTCCAAATGGCATGGCAGAGGGTCGCAGGCCCACAAACCACAGAGCTGCTTCTCCTGGTTATGACGGAAAGGTTCCTTCTCTTCTGGCATTTGCCACCTGCCCCACCTGGGCGACGCTGAGGCTCGCGTCCGTCAAGCTGGCCGCTGCCTCTCTGTAAACGTGGAGCCAAATGACCCACATTTAGCCGGACGTTTTTCACTGCAGACATTTGGTGGAACAGAACTTCATGAGCAACGCAGAGAGTGTTAACGGACGCGGTCACTTTACGTGGCAGTGTCTCAACCCATAATACTGTTCTATGTCCTTCTCCAGCAGGGCCTGGTGACAAGCAATGGCCAGTCCATGGTTTAAAAGATTCTGCCCCACCTGTGGAAAACGGACGAGTGAGAAGGCTCTGCCCCTCCTGTCCCTGGCCCTGCTGGCATGTGACTGTCCCCTGTGGGGCTCGTCTGCACCAGACCCCCGCCCCCACCGCCCCGGCCCAGACAGGCACAGGTGGGAGGCAAGTACACAGCACCGTTGGATTACCAGGTTCCAGGTGAGTCTGCCAGCCTCTCCCTCCAGCAGGGTCTGCAGTGAAAGGCCCACCCTGGCACTTCACTCCATCAGCGGGGGGAGCTGTGTGGCCCCCTGGGAGCAGGGATTCCACGTGGGTGGGGAGCCGACCAGACGATCCGAGGGCCCCAGAACCACGAGGGCAAATCCATGCCCCAGACCTATCGGAGCCGAGGACCAGCACCAGCCTGCGTTCCCTGGGGACTCCCTTCTGTCCAAGATGCCCCGACGAGCCCTCCAGACGAGGCGCGTGTGCTGTCCGCATGCCCGTCCCGTGCGTGTAGAGCTGCTCCTGGGTGGGCGTGGGGGTCGCCGTGTGTGTCCGTGTCCAGGTGCGTCACTATGCACCAGCTAACTGGTATCCACTTGGGCGCAGGCGTCTGTGTGTCCAGACAATTCTCTCTGGACCTTGCTCTCACTGTGCTGCGTCTGGCAGACGTCGATGTCCGGTTCTAAGCCTTCATGTCGGGTCGGTGCTTGGCCCTCCCACCTGACATGGGACGCCAGTGACTTCTGCCCACGTGCCTCAGACGTTCAGTCAGGAAGCGAAGGAGATGGAGAGAGGGAAGGACGGACGGAGGCTGCTGGAGGGCGGGCCCCGAAGCCGGCTGGGGGGGAAGGATGGGAGCTTCGCTTTGGCCTTGAACACTCAGTCACCAGGAAAGAAACACGACC